GATGCCAGGAGCCCCTAGTAGCATCCTTGCTCCTAGAAGCGATGCCAGGAGCCCCTAGTGGCGTCCTTGCTCCTAGTAGCGATGCCAGGAGCCCCTAGTAGCTTCTCGCTCCTAGTAGCGATGCCAGGAGCCCCTAGTAGCATCCTTGCTCCTAGTAGCTAAGGTTCGCGGCATGCTGAGTGCAAGGTCAAATGGCCCGAGTTGTGCCCTGAGATTGCCTACCCGTTTTTTTACGGCTCTTCCTCAGCAGGAGGGCGCTGCTTCACTCCTTGGGTCCTGCACGATGTTGCACCAGTTGGACCAGTTGGAAGCTTGAGTGATTCCCATGAAAGCTCCTGTCTGGAACTCCCTAAATAGCCGAGGAAGACTCTTGAGAAAAACCGCAGGTGTTCCTCCTCAGAAAGGCCCTATGGCCTGTGCGGGGGTGCCCGCATAGCGGGGCCCAGAAGAGGATCTCGCCAAGCCTGGCGGGGTGTTCGATGCATGTCCATGACTTCGAGGAACAGCATGTGTCAACCATGTGGAACCAAGTGGCAAGTGGCAACAGTGGGGGCTGCTGAAGCATGTTTCACCCTTTCTCGGCCAATTATGCACTTCTAGCTTGAAGCACTGAAGGAGGCTCAGCCCGACCTTCATCAAGATCGCGAAGGCCTGAGCAAGGAGTTCAAAAGAGAGCACACATGGCCTTGACTTTTGTGTCTTGTGATTGAGACCCAAGCATGAGGTTACAAGGTCTTAGTCAGACCAACCAACCAACAAATCCTTCCCCCAATGCCCAGGTTCTATGATGTGGCCATTCACTTGATTCCACCTCTTGGGATACCAATTCAGCAAAGATCCTTTTCCTCCAAAGAACTCATTTCGTCCCAACTCCGTTCCCACAAGCCGCCATTGGGAACTCCTTGCATCGCTTGCTTGAAACAAGAAGGGCCTCACTTCTTTCAGCAACGTTTCCTTAGCCGGCCGAGGAGCAACATGAGCTACTGACCCAAGCATACGCTCTGGCGGTCCGCTTGGAGGAGCGACCTCGGTGCAGCGAAGCACGTGACGACTCGTCGCTCGCAGTCAGTTCGCGAACGAGAAAGCCAACGCGAGTTGTAGCAATCGTGCGCTTGGCATCGGGCTTCTTAGTGAGCCGGAAACGATGCCGCCATCTTCCAAGATAGGATCCATCACCCGACCTGTGCAAAGTCAGTATCAGCTGAGAAAGAATGCTGAGCTATCTGTCACATGATGCGCCTTGTGGTTTGATCGAAATGAGTATGCAAGAACGCTGTATACGTCAAACGGCTGAACGGGCACCTGGAAGCCCTAGTTCACTCTCAGCGAGGGTGCCTTTGGAATCCTGGTGTCGAACGTGGAAGTTCGCTCGAAACGAGCGCGTGACAGTTCGCTGCAACGTGTTCGTCTTTCGGAGTGTCATTCAACTCAACAAAAAAATGTGAGTAATGCATCCACAACCTTTGTGCACCACCTGCATTTCATGGTAGCTGCTCAAGGCGATCAGAAAGCGGACATGATCTTCAAGAACAGCACATTCGTATCGTCTCCATGGATTGCCGATCCGGTGTTCCTCGTGAGGCGCGGCTTCACTGTCCTGCACGAGAGTCACAAAATTGGGAGGTGATGTTGTAGGGCCCAGGAAACACGGTGTCAGAAACATGGTGTCAGTGGTTGGCATGGTGTCAGTGCTGCAGCCCTAAAAACACAGTCGGATTTTTGGATTCTGGGAGATAACCGGCTTTGGGGCTGCTCCGAGAGTCTCAAGAGAATCCTACCTACTTATCTTTCAACCAGTCACTTTAGTTGAAGCTCCACTCGTGCTGCATCCCTTTCATGCACTGCATTATACTTCATCCAAATCCTACAGGAGCAATGTTCCTTCAGAATCTCACCAATAAGTCCCAGTGCAAAAGAAAGGATTAAAGAATAAGAAAAAAACAACAAGGTTTGGCTGCTTTCAGGATGCGTCAGTCTAACTAACTTCCCCCAATCCACACTCAGTTCCTGCCGAGGAAGGAAACGACGAAGTCTTGCTTGAGCATCACCAGTTGGACCTAGGCTACACACAGGCGGGCTCATCACTGAAGCTTAATGCCCACACTCTCCTACGGTCACCCCCTCAGCACTCAAAAAGGATGAGCTGGTCTCAAACGCTTCTCGCGTCAAACAAAGCAGCAATGGACTGTGCACAATTGATGCATTGAAAGCAACAACTGTCGTTCATCAATAGCCGGTGCTGAAGTTGGGAGTATGCCCCGTGCACATTCCGGGCACTGTAGCTCACCTGCAAGTTTCCATGCATAAATATATGTAGATTCTTGTCTAATATAGTTAAGCTTCCCGAAAAATCTGAGCCACATGAATAGTGTGCTTTCTTCAAGGAAGCCCCCCCGCCCTCAGGCGGGGGGAGTTTCCCTGAAAAAGCGGGAGCTATCCTGTGTCCTAAGTAGTAGCGGCTGGGGAGAGTTTCCTTGAAGAAGCGCTCGCACATCCTGCGTCCTAAGTAGTAGCTACTTAAGCTACTAGCGACTCCCTAGTTTCTACTAGCGACTCCCTAGTTTCTACTAGCGACTCCCTAGCTACTACCTCCCTCTTTGCGGCCCACTCCCCCCCTGTTCCAAAAAAAGAAATGGTCCATACCATGTTTGGGCGTTGTGGAGAGGAGAGGGTGAACAAGGCTTCCAGTCACTCGCCCCTACTGACAAAAGCCACCTCCTCAAAATGATGTCACTTGCCTTTCGATGAGCATCGTTCCAAAAAGCACTTCTCCGAGACAGCCCACGGAAGAATCTCTTCGATCTGCAAATCAAGTTGCCAAGGTCCAATTCTCTTGGCATCTGTGGCGGCGTTGGGCGACGCAGCACCTGGTGTGAGGTGGCGTAGCGCTTGGGCAGTGAACTGGTGGTTGGGTGTCAGGGTGGCTTTTGAAGGGATTTAACGATATTGAACCTAGCTGATCCTTCAATTGGAAAGATCAGTTGGGGACTTGGATCACTCTCAAACCTTTTCGAAGCGCATCCAGATCATTAAACGCTGGAGAGATTTGGAGAGAGGGAGGACCAAGTAAAGAATTCCCTGCTACAAGTACAAAAAGTCTTGCTGTTCTTTGGCCTGCTTTAGCAAATAGTAGTTTTGAGCTTTGGGGCTTTGGCTGGTTTTTGCATGGTTCGGCACTCCCTCTGCCCAGATCCAAAACCTCATTTCAGAAGAGGTCACACCCCACTCAAAATGGGTATAGGCAGATTCTAGAAAAAACTGGAGGGACTTTGGGGCAGCCTCTTTGTGAGAATATCAGGAAACTCCAAAACTGCTTTTGATTAGCACAACAGGGAAGCAGGAAAGAAGAAAACACCAGTCATGAAGCTAAGCACTGAGCAGAAACAAACACGTAGAAGACATGGGAACAAGAAGCCAAGCCAAAGACCAGAAAAGCACCAATCCAATAAACCACAACATTAGAAACCAAGAAACTACAGTAATTATACAAAACAAGGAAACAACAAACCTATAAGCCAGAAAGCCAGGAAGCAAGAAGACCGAGGCAGAAAGCCCCAAAGCTCATAAAACCTTCAAATGTGAACAAATCCAAGATAGCACAATACCAGAACACCTGGAAACCAATAATCAGCTCACCAAACGACCAGGCATCAGACCCGCGTTCCAAAACAATCCAGTTGCCTGCTTCACGGACAGAGCACATTCCCGCCTCTGAAAACAATCCAACTGTATTCTACTCACTTCTGAAACGAGGCGCTCCAATCTACGAATCTATCAATACCAAGATTCTGAATAGACTTGGATGTCAAAATCCAGAATTTATATACATATATATATCCCCACTTGCTCCCGGGGTAATTCGGCGTTCCCCTGGGTCTCCCAGCCCATCCGGTGTCAGTCCCTCTGAAGGGTGTTGGTCTCGAAAATCTCCTCAGTCCAATCACTCCAATCCCCAAGCAGTTGGCCCAACGAGTTCTGGGGTTGTTTGGATGCCTTTCTTCCCTGGCGCACGTGGGGGCAGTATTTTAGGAGCAACGCCCAGCAGGCAGGGGCTAGTCGAGTGGAGAAAGCTTTGTTGGCCGGAGGTTTCCAGTCGAGGGAAATTTTGACCGCTTGGACCATGAAGACGATACGAATCTCCGCTTCGTCAGATCGATCATCGAAAGACGCAACGAACCAAGCTTTGTGACGACCTTTCGAGTTAGCAACTCAATCCTTTCACATGTTCAGGAAGGGTCATGTACAGATGTGTTGACTCTAGTTGATCGATGTTCATTGTCACTTTATACAGAAGGACAACCGGTTGACCATGCTTGCAAGTGGGCGCTTCTTAGGAATCCTTTTTGTCGCGATGTCTTTCAGAACTATTTGCCGTCAACTTAGAAGCATGGGGATGGATCGGTACTGAATAGTGGCGGTTGTACTGTAAGTTGTACCCATCAGGTGTTTTTGCAGTTCTCCCCCACCCAGTGTTGTCCAGCGCACCGCCACGCAGGGGTTGGTGATGCCTCTCTGGATGGTGCCTCAGCACATGGCTGTGGTGAGCAGCAAAATCGTTTGAAATGGGTCGAGATCCCACCACATTGGAGGTGACATACCCTGTGCTTCTCAGAAAGAGCCTTGCTGGAAATGGGTCTCGTTGTGGTACTCTGGGAAGGGAGTTAGATAGACCGACAGTATGTCAGGCAGTAGAGTTCGGTCTTCGCAACGTCATGAGCACCATGGTTCACAGCTAGGCCTTAGGGCCAACAGCCCATCTTCCTTTACATATAGGTTCCGCAGAATCCAGTGGGTGCGAACTCGATTATATAGGAAAATCCGTTCAAGACCCTAGTAGCGTTCTTGCTCCTAGCAGCGATGCCAGAAGCCCCTAGTAACCTTGCTCCTCTCAAAAATAATTATTGTAAAACCTGCCAAATATCATATCGTCAAGATGTTGGTCGTCCGGTCCGCCTGTCCGACTCCTTCGCTGATACCGCTCCATCACTCTCGGTATCCAATTTTTGACCAACGCACGAGGCGCCTTCGCTCTTGGCGCGCGCCACGTCCCATTTTTGGACCGGCGATGTGAAGCCAAAACGAAACAAGGACACCAAGAGGAATGCATGAGTTCAGCACGCCATGTTTGTGAACCAAGATGTACTGCCAAGAGTGTTGGACAACCAATGAGTGGCTTCGCTGGGAGAGCTTTCTGTAGTCGAACCTCAATCCCGACCTCTGCAGCTGTCCCGACCTTCTCTTTGCTACCCTTCAGTACCTTCTGTGCGCGGATAGCCAGCGCTGGATCCAGGAGGCCAGGCAAATCCTGATTGAAGTTGCATGAGCAGCCTGAAAGGCAGCAGAGTTCATTGGCCACTTGGACCAACAGACTGGCTTTCTTCTCCTGGTGGCCAACAAAAGAGCCTCACGTTGACCAACCAGTGTCCAACTCATACCGGAGAGGCTTGTTCGCCCTGTGTTACTAGTAGCTTCTTGTCCCTAGTAGTATGGCCAGGAGCCCCTAGTAGCGTCCTTGCTCCTAGTAGCGATGCCAGG